GCCTAACTAAATGAAACATCAGTAAAAGAAATATAATGTCTAGTTTCATTCCAAGCCCGCCCATAAACAGTACTGTTTTTTTTTTTTCAGATGGAACTCCCAGTTTGACGCTATTGAGCTTCTTGTAAAATCAGAAGATAAGCTGGACAGTCTATGCAAGGACTTGGATATACCTATGTTTAAAAGGCCTCAGGAAATTCAGTTTCTTGCTGAATACTGTAAGGTTAGTATTCGTCACCAAGTGTAAACATTAAACTAATTACGATACTATTGTACACATTTTCCATCAAATTTAAATCTGTACATGATCTATTGGTCTTTTATAATATGAATTTATACACAAACAAGCATAAACAAAATCAATTTGTGTTCAAATGTTTACTTTATGAATTAAGAGACTTTTTTCAGTTTGTTTATTTGTATAAATTTATGTTTCTCTAGGTGATGGAGCCAATTGCCCAAGGTTTGGACATTCTTCAGGGTGAGAAAGAAATGTACATGGGCTTTCTTCTTCCAACGCTCACAGTTGTGAAATCAGCATTAACTTCCTTGTCAGAACTCCAGTGGTGTGAGCCCTTGAAACATGCTCTTCTCAAAGGATTTGATAAACGGTAAATGCTTGTTTTGTAGTCAATCGCCGTTTCCAATTGTGTTTATCCAATTTCATTAAATAAATACAACAATGACTAATAACATATTTTAATCACATGATAAGTTTTATATTAACTTGCTACAGACATTAACTGTCAATCTCTTGATGTTTAACCTATTTTTTGTTATGTCTCTAGTAGTGATGGGTCGTTACAACTTTTTCAAAGTTGGTACCGATACCGGTTATTAACCAAAATCGATTCTCGGTTCTCGGTATCATCGGAACATTATTTTTTTTTTTAGGATAGGCTACTTAATTTTTTAGTAAAACAAATATCCATACAGTATTTTAATTTTACAGTATTTTGCATTAGTATTAGGTTGGTACAAAAATTAAGGGATTTAAGAAAATAAAACTTATTTGTACAAAAAAAAACAAACTTAAATAGCCAAACACATTCAAATGAAAATAATATATGATATAGCAGAAGTGATAAAAATATTTAATGAATTGGTGGTCTGTTGATACCAAAATTTATCGATCCTGGATATCGATACCTAAAAAAACAATTCTCAATACCAATACCATTTCATCTTCCACAGACATGGAAAAGTCTTAGTCATCGTCCACGATCGTGGCAAAATTATGAACATCTCATGTGGCCATGTAGACATCATCGTCGTCATCCACGATCGCTGTCGTGGCAGAATCATCTCCCGCGGCCACGCAAACATCATTGTTGTTTGCGTGATTGCGGAAATATCGCTAATTTTTCGGAATTATCAATACCAGAGGTACCTTAATTTCACCATCTTTTGCCAAGAACCGGCGGAACCGACGTGAAGTACTGACCCATCTCTAGTCTTTAGTATGAAATTGTGATAAATGTATTATTCCCATGTTATAATATTTTTTTATAATTATTTTTTGCAGGTTCTCAAAGTATTTTGAAAACAAGGAGCTTGAAATAGGCGCCTGCCTAATTCCAAGGTTTAAGCTTAACTGGGTGCCACAGCTCGCAGAAAGGCAGACTATACGCAACACCCTCTATGACGAGTTTTTGAAGGCTGTGAGAAATGAACCCTCCACTAGAACCAAAACAGCAGGAATCAAGGCTCCTCCAGAATCAAAGAATGCAAAAATAGACAAGTTTTTTTCGGTGATCGACTTACCCAAAGAGTCCAACGGCAACACTGACAGTTCCCAGATAGAGAGGGCCAAGGCAGAATCCGAGTTGGCATGCTATCTCCATGACACAGTCGACGTGAAAGGAATGTCAGAATTCTGCAAGAACCTCTTTATAAAATTCAATACAGCGATTCCATCATCAGCGCACTGTGAACGTCTGTTCAGTGCAGCAAGCCTAGTCATCACTAACAGTCAAGGAAGAATCAGTGACACCAGTTTAGAAAAACAACTTCTTTTAAAATTTAATAGGCATTTAAAGTAAACTAGTGGCTTGTAGGGACATAAGTCCCTAAAAAGCTTAATTGTGTAAAACAAATATTACAATATTTAAACAAATACAGAAGTATATTATCTATGTGTCATAATAGATATCCCTGTACTTGTATCTTTTGTGTAAAAACAGTTAATTGTTTGTCTTAATTTGTTTTTGTTGATGTTATTTTGAATAAATAATTTGAATGACTCTAGAGGTTTAACTCTGGTACTTTGCCAAAACCGCTTGCTGCTATTGTAAAGGTTTAACAAAATTGGTGTAAAGTAAAGGCATTCCATGACCAAACTTAACCCTATATTTGTTTCTAATCAACATAAAAAAACTACTATTAGGCTAGTGTAAGTTTATGTAGTGGTATTCCTCCTAAAGGTACGATTGACTTTACACAATTATTCTATCAAAAAAGGGTCTAATCAACACCTGATTACTAACTATTTTGAGACTGGTCAATCACGAAAATACTTTTCATCAGCATCTTCGACATGCATAATTTTGGTTAGTTTTAAGAAACTGAACCTTTCTTGCTTGGAGCAACAGGCAGTACCAGGTTAAAATCTCCTCCAAACAATATTGTATTTCCATCCATTGGACTGTACGAATCTATTTCATCTTTATTCCCAGGGGTTGTTTTCTAATAATGGCCATTGAGGTTATTCAACTTTCTAAGACGTAACTAAAATGTCTTAATTATTGTAGGTAACGTTATCCCTGGTTTTATATAGTGTACAGTACAATGCAGAATCGACTGGGCAAATGAGTAATCCAAATGTAATATTGCTTTCTAGAAAACACGATCTGCTGATTTGAAGTAAAAAAAATCAGCAGTAAATGGCTTATAATGCTATTCTTATGTAGAACATTTTAAGTTACATCTAATTTTGTGTTACCATTTTGGAAATTCCACTGTTTTTCCCAGTATTCTTTTTTCATTTATCGACCATCACGGGGTCGAGACCTTTAATTTGAGCCCTCTCCCGTCATTTTACGTCTTCCCAGTCGCCCACAATTTTGACGCAAAGAATCGGCTTGCACAATTAATATAGATATGGATTTTTGTAGTAATGAATGTAAAATGTAATGTAAATGTGACAATGTTTGATTAAAGCACAATTAGTTACCGAGATGTGTCGTTATTTCATTACATACGAAATCCTTTAAAACAACTGTCCAACAAACAGCTGACATCTACGAAAACTAACTTTATTTTGTACTAACTAACTAATAACTTCTATCAGTTACTTTTTACTGGACTAACTAATAACTTCTAACTAGTTAGAATTTTTGACTAACTTTCCCAACTATAGAACAGGCCCTAATATTGTAAAAATTGTATGTAAATTGATTTGTTTATGATCTTTTTATATTAAGTTTAATTCAAACAAACTTGTTGTGATTTAGTTTTGGTTATTTCAACAGTTATGAAAGTGGGAAAGAATGTCTTGATGTACACATTTTATTTTCTTGGTTATTTATTGTTAAGTTGAGGGCAATTCCCAAGCTGTAAATAAGATATGAAAATGAAATAATATACATAAGCTAACATTTTTTTTGCATTTTATCAATAAAAAATATAAACACGTTAATTCATGATTTTGGCCCGACCCGATTGTGGTCCGGAACCCGAGGGCCAAAATTATCAACCAGACCCGAACCAAAAAAGTCTGACCCTCAGACCCCTATTTTTAGGAAAGTTAATATTGTTAAAACTGCCATTTGAAATACCTACATAGTTTATGTACACATTGTCATGTACAGTGAAAATGAATTTAAATACAGTTAGTTATCTGTGTTAAAGGCCTATTCTTAAAGTATCATTGCAGCCTTGATACTGTATGTTTTTCTAGGTAGAATATAGGAAATTAAATTAGAGTGTCGATTATCCAACGTGAATCGGCCGCAGAAATGTTAGATAACACGGAAAATTAAAAAAAAGATGTTTGCGCTCACGCTGTGCCCGCAGGATGTGTTGACGATCACGCTTCGAGTGATGGACATATTCACAATTGTGTCGTGATCGTGAAATATGTTCAAGATGGCGCCGTAACCACAATACATGATGAAGATAGCACCTGTACCGTGGAATATATTTACAATCGCGCCCCGAGCATGGGTCATGTTGACGATGGCTCCTTGATTGCAAATGTTTAAGATGGCTCAGTGACTGTGAGACATGTTGATGATGGGACCATGTTTTTAAGACACGATGACCAATGGCGCCTTGATCGCATAAGATCTTTGCACTGCTGCCTAGACCGTGAGATATGTTGAGGATAGTACTGTGAATACGAGACAAAGGCTAGATATTTCGGAAAGTTGGATAACTGAAGGTCTAATAACCAAGACTCTTTAGTATATCTGAATTTTGTTTAGTATTTGTTTAGATGAACACTTAACAGTGCTTCATGATAGTAAAACCGGTAATCGTTTAGAGTAGTTGCTTAGTTAGGTTGGGGTCTAAGACTTAGGTTCAAGGGACGGGCTTGATCTCAGTCATAGCCTACACACACATTTAAAGACCTTGAACTGATTTCTCTTAAAAAAGTTTTCCCAAACAAAATAACACAACAACATATAAGTTGACAGAGTCATTTTATTTTGTCTCTAATCATAAAAGCTTGGCATTTTTTTGCAATCTACATGCTTAGTAAGAATTATGTTAATGATTTTCACTTACTTCCAAAAGAACATGTAAAGGTCACTGAGAACAATTTTGCCCAGTTTAAATTTCTTAAAATTTAGTTGCTTGCAGTCCATATCTCTATAATTTGATGCTCAATAAGTTCAAGCAATAAATACTATTGCTGTTGGTTTATTTTGAACTTATTAGGCGCCAATAAGGTTTGGTCATGAACATTTTCAGTTAAAATATAGATTACGCTAAATTGTCCTTGGATTTTATTTCATGGCTTTCCGGACACTTGTATCTCATTGTTACATTATTGTTAGGTATCGGTCTGATTGCGGCTGGAGTGTACGACATCATCGTAGCAGGAGGAGTGGAGTACATGTCTGATATTCCGATCCGTCACTCACGCAAGATGAGGAATCTTCTGCTTAGAGCCAACAAGGCCAAGACTCCAATGCAGAAGTTGCAACTGTTAGCCAGCATTAGACCTGACTACTTCATACCTGAGGTAAGTCGTATCAGTAGGGAAATCAGTGTCGGTTATCTTAAGATTGTGAATTGTCAACATACCTTTCACGTCAAATAAAAAAAAAATATCAAGATTTAAAAAAAGACTGCTTATAAGAGAGTTTATACCGGGTGTCCGAAAAATAACTCCCTAGTTTTGATAAACGATTGTTTATTGTAGAGAATACATATTCTTATATCTAATACATGAAATTAAAGAGGGTTTACTCAAGTTTATTTTGACATTAGTACACCTCGATATGTGACCCATTTGTAGCTCTACAGATATCTAACCGGTATTCGATCTCTCTCCAAGTGTTAGTTAACATATCAGGTGTCACTGATTCTACTGCAGCTACGATTCTTTGACGAAGATGGTCAATGTCACGTATCTTTTCTGAATAAACCAAGTTCTTAACGTAACCCCACAGGAAAAAATCCAGTGGTGTTATGTCTGGGATACGCTCGTTTCCCGGCATGATGGATGGGGAGAGCTGGCCCGATCGCGTGGCCTCCAAGAAGCCCAGACATAACACCACTGGATTTTTTCCTGTGGGGTTACGTTAAGAACTTGGTTTATTCAGAAAAGATACGTGACATTGACCATCTTCGTCAAAGAATCGTAGCTGCAGTAGAATCAGTGACACCTGATATGTTAACTAACACTTGGAGAGAGATCGAATACCGGTTAGATATCTGTAGAGCTACAAATGGGTCACATATCGAGGTGTACTAATGTCAAAATAAACTTGAGTAAATGACTTGAGTAAAAACTTGACTTAAGTAAACTTGAGTTAAACCCTCTTTAATTTCATGTATTAGATATAAGAATATGTATTCTCTACAATAAACAATCGTTTATCAAAACTAGGGAGTTATTTTTCGGACACCCGGTATAATTGAAAAAGCTATTAGGACTTAGCACAAACAATTTGTTAGGGAATCTTGAGCCAAATGGAAAGTGTTCAAAAAAGTCAGAAATTCCATTCCTAGAAATTCTCATCAATTATGATTCTTTTGTAAATTTTACTTCTATTCAATTCAGAACTAGTTTTAACAGATTTTATTTTTAAGACATATTTTGTATATTTATATTCAGTTCATATAGTCGCAACACTACCAAAATTGGAATTGTGAGATAGTAGGGCGATTATCATTAAATTAATGATATATTTAATCAAGACAAAAAGTACTTGTCGTGGAGTTGTGTGTGCACACATATTTGTTGAGTTTGATGATTGAAAAAGGTTGCTTCATTTGTAAAGATTTATTTTACAATATATAATTGATTGATAAAAGTTTGTAAAGTTGTTGATGACTTAACACTATTATTAATAATTAACTTATACATATAATAGATATTTCCTTATTGCCAACATAGGATATTGAATAATTAATTATGAAACATGTGGTTGATATACTGTAGTCGTATTGCACATTATACGTTCTCGTAGTTCATTTTGTTCATTCTCATGGCTTTTGAATTTCAAAGAATATCAGGTAAACTAAACTTACTATACATTCACTACTGTTAGCTATTTAGGCTACAGGAAAAGCTTAATCGTCTATTTTCATCCAATAAGTAGACGTCCTGTCTCAATTCTCAGTGTTGAGTTATCTCATGTGGTATTTCTTGTGTAGCTCCCGGCAGTGGCGGAGTTCTCCTCGGGAGAGACCATGGGTCACTCGGCGGACAGACTTGCGGCTGCGTTCAAGGTGACGAGACAAGAGCAAGACGACTATGCACTACGATCACACAAGCTGGCACAGGAAGCCTTTGACAAAGGATACTTCACTGATCTGCTGCCTTACAAAGGTAAAATGATATAGTATTTTGCACCCCAGCATGTGTCGGAAATAGTTGAAAGCAGTAAAGCCCTCATCCATCAAGTCTGCTGTGTACACTGGGGGTGTGCAGGTAGCTTGGGCATTCAGTCATTCATCTGCAATATCTTCGTGCAATAATTCTTAGTTTAAACAAATCTGGTAGTATAAATTTGGGTTCATTTTAAGCTTGTATTTTGTATTAATTTTAATTTTAAACTTAAAGGGTATCGACAAATTATTAATACCGAATTCCATAAATAGGACATTTTACAAATCCTATGTCCAAAAATTTTAAGTAAAATTTTAACTAATAATACAGTTTGATTTCCAGTGCCAAACAGTGACAAGATAGTGTCAAAAGACAATGGTATTCGAGTGTCAACTCCCGAACAGCTGGCCAAGCTGAAGCCTGCTTTTGTCAAACCCCATGGAACTATCACTGCAGCCAATGCATCCTTTTTGGTAAGTCATTTAGTTTGTAAACATCCAAGGGGATTAAAACTGACTATAGTCCCCCTTTTGTTTTGATCTGTTCACTATGGACAGCCACCTGCCTGCATGATTGTTGAACTAGCAAACTCTAGCTTAAATCCCCAAACTTAGTTATAGAAACACATTTTACACAGACCACATTTTACATTTAAGAAAAATACAAATATAAAATTTAACACCGGTAATCGGTTGCCATGATCTGAACTGGATGCCGACTCCAACATTCTCAAAAATCGACATCCTTAACTCTAACATCCAGTTCAGATCATGTCAACCGGTACCGTGTGCAACAGGCCTGTTTAGTTTTATTTTCATTAAATGTAAAAATGTAATCCGTATTATGTGTTTCTACTGTGATGACACTGCTTCAGCTGAAGATGTCTGATTGCAATTCCGAAATGGCGGTAACGCAAGTTACAACTGATTGAGAAGTAGACGAAGATAAAATCTATTTTTAACTACTTTAGGCCAGGGACACACTTACCCGGCGCCGGAGCAAGTTGAGATGCATGGGGCAGGCCACATTTCTCCGGTTCGGCGAATCTGCCGATCCGGCAGGAAAATGCTCTGGCGAAACCGCCGGATATTCTCTACCTCGCCGGATCGGCGGTTTCGCCGGAGCAGTGGGTAGCGGGGCATTGTGCTTAATGGAGATGAACACACTTACCGGCGAAACACCCGGACTGCCACTGCCCCCACTCCTCAGTTGTGGTTCAACCCTCGAGGGTGGTGGTTGTTTATGATTTTAATGCAGTGTCCAAGTGGTGTATTTAGTTTTGTTTTGCTATTTAGTTAATTTAGTTTTTATTTTTAGTCTGTTTAGTTTTCTATATCATCATGGTAGATGTTGATATGGATTTACTTATTAGGTTCATGAGAAACCAGAACTTTGTGGTAGGTCTTAGGAAATTCACAAAGACAGAAACAAAACGAGGGACAGCAGCATCTGGCGACAAATTTGTGCCGCACTGAATCAAGCCTTTCCAGCATGTTTTGTCCTTGTATTTGCACTGTAATCTTCGATAGTAGCTCTTTGAATGAGGGGACAGACATTCGAAAATAATTAAAAAACTTATTTTATTCTTTTCTCAACTGTAAAAAGAGTGTAAAAAGCTCCATGTACCTGTCTGATCTCCAGAATGGGATGCACCCAAACAGTTCGGTGGTGTTTTCTCTTCCTTCTGTGGTGGATCAAAAACAGCAAAGCCAACTTTTGAGGTCTTGACAGCTCCATTTCTACTAAGACTAAACTGTACTATAGAACTGTACTAGTGTAAGACAAAACTCATTCAGAGTTCATTGCACTCTATTTATTGTCGCCGGCTCCGGCAAAATAGTTTTTGCCGGAACAAGTGTGTTCTGACCCTCAACCTCCGGCGGATCCACCGGATCCGGCGCTCGGCGGTTTCGCCGGTAAGTGTGTCCCTGGCCTTACTTGTGCGAATCCACCCACGTGCATGCCTAGCAAGGACTACCTATTGCAGTACAAGTAAAGATTAGTTAATATGATTAATTAAGTGCAGTTTGAATCATGTATTTTGATTGTGTATTTCTTCCAGTAAAAAAATTGAGATTCTAAATGACATTTAAAATCCTGATTCAAATATTTTAAATTTGAATATGTTTAATAATTAGCAAACGGCAAACACTTATGTTCACAGACTGACGGTGCATCTGCTTGCATGATCATGACAGAAGCTAAGGCCAAGGAACTGGGCTTGAAACCAAAGGCTTACCTGCGAGACTTCATCTATGTGTCACAAGACCCCAAGGACCAACTGCTCTTGGGGTGAGTTGATTTGAACATTTTGTAATTATGATTCCCACATTGGAGAATAATGTAGTTTATGTACAGGGAAATATAACATTGAAAATGGTTGTATAATCAGGTTTAGATAATTGTAAAACATATTTTTCTACCCTATTATATTATGTCAACCACATGGCCCCCTGTCAAGTAGCACAGTACATTAAGAAGCTCACATATGGGTACAGAATCAGTTAACTAAACCAGCATACAACAACTTATCTTCTGCTTTCTTTTCACTAGAGATATTGTACTTTCCATCAAATTACCTCAAACTTTATTGAAAGTAGCCACGTTGGGGGAAGTGTTATTTTTCATTGACCCTGTTATTATACAAGCATTTGCATGCAGTAGTTCAATTTGTGGCACATATTGTAAGTAGAACGGGGCCATAACTAGTGTACTGTAGTGAGTTATGAAAACATTTTTCAGACCTGCTTACGCTACACCGAGAATTCTGGCCAAGGCTGGGATTGAACTCAAAGACATTGATGTTTGGGAGTTCCACGAGGCGTTCGCTGTAAGTGCAGTGGTTTGTTATAAGTAGAAGTAGGCCTATATTAGTTACAGTTTTAAATTAAATAACTATTTTTATGTTGAAAACATAGTTTGATTTTTATATTGTCAAGGCTATAGTAAAAGGGTTGATATGATGCTTACTATTCTATCCAGCACTAGCAATCTCCACATAAAGAATTGTTAAAGGGCAATGATTCTTTTAGTATTGGCTTTGAATACTGAAGTAGACATCTTATCTTTATGAACCATGTTAGTTTATAAAAAAAGAGTGCTTAACATGTCAGGAGTAAAACATGTGTAACATACTTGTAATAAGTGAAAAAATATCATTTATACAATAGCTGGACAAAGGGGAATCGTTGAATAATGTTGGCATTTTCACAATTAATGATTTTATTTTACAGTGGATGATGTATTTATTATTGATAATCTGACTTTTCAATAATCGGAAAATTTCAACATACCTTAGACAATTAGGCTGGTTACACGCACGCATCTCGCAAGGTGCGACTAGCATTTTTCTTGCTACTAGCATGCAGCTTGAAGACCAGCCTGTGTTAATCAATTGGAGCTTACACACATATGCGACTGGCATTGTGCAGCTAGCGCAGCGTGCAGCGCCACTCGGAACTGATCGGTCGGTGTTTTGGCACTGCATGAAGCGTGCATCTTCAGTTGAAGCATGCGCAGAACACATTTCCAAGTCACATGGCTATTGCAAAACTCTTTATGTATTCATTCACATACTACATACTGTGATAAAATTGAGAGTCAAACCTAACACAGACAGAATCACGCTTTCTACTATTTTTTGTCACTGTGGTCTTTAAGTTCACATATTTTATAAATACAGTATGTCTGGATTCATGCGGTACAACTTCGTAACTCCTCTGGATGTTCCAAGAGCTGATCATGCATTGGCTACTTTCAACATTTTGGCGGCAATAAGAGGGTACCAAATATTTTCTTTGCCTTACAGCATTTTATCAACCGATGACGACGTTGACATTTTCCAATGAACTGAGTGCCAAAAAGCCTCACCTTGCCACTAGCACGTGCCACGACCATGCAGCATGCATGCATCTCGCACAGTGCTACTGGCATCAAATATGTTAGTCGCACCGTGCGAGATGCATATGTGTGTAACCCGCCTTAAAAAGATTCCACTGTGTTGTCAACACCATTACTCCAATATGTGTTCCAGGGCCAAATCCTAGCCAACCTGAGGGCCCTGGACTCTGACTGGTTTGCTCAGAACTACATGGGGTTGAAGGGCAAGGTGGGAGTGCCTGACATGAAGAAGTTCAACACATGGGGAGGTTCTCTCAGCATTGGCCACCCCTTTGCTGCTACAGGTTAGTCAACTTTTCTAAACACTCTTCAAGATACTCTTTAGGTTTATAAAAATAATATACTGTACTACCAAAATCGATATTGTACAGCATAGTCTATTTCTTTCAGTTTAGTTGACCATTCACATTGAACCTCTACACATCGTTGATCTGTTTGTTTTGAAATCTTTGTCTATGTGTAGATTTTGTTTATACTTGAACAATCTAACAACTATGACATCTTCAAACCAAAAATATTCTACAAAACAGAACATTTACAGCAGAGATATCATTAACCATTTGGTGTTTAGTTAACTGAATACAATATGCAATCCAAATTGTGACCTTAAAATTTTCAGGCCCTTTATTTCCAAACAAAAATAGCCATCAAACGCTTTAGGTTTATCTTGTTTACTGGTCCCTTTGGTGTTTGAGTTATCCAAGTTCCACTGTTCATATATTTACAAGTGTTGTCCATAAATTAAGGTCTCCATCGGCATCGAGCTCCTGTCAAATCCAAACAAACTTGTAAGGTACCAAATTTTAAGGGGGGTAAAAACGTACTACGAATAAATGAACATCAGAACTTACCAGATTTTTAACCACAATAGCCTACTTCTAGGCCTATGTGTTGGCCATAGCTTGGGCTATGGGCCAAAGAACGTAGGCCTATTTTTATTCACAGTGAAGTACACAAACACATCCACAACTACATATTTATTCATAATAGCACTTCGTTTCACATAATAAAGTTAAACCGGCCGATTTTACAGATATTTAACTCTGCCGACGACATAACCCCAAACTGGTGTTTATTTGTTGACAGACGACAGACGAAACTAGACCAGCTCAACAAGTGAATTCGATCAGCTGTTATCTAGTAGTACCAAAGTTCGCCGCTTGAGCGCGTAAGCCTCGAGCGCGTAAGCCTCGAGCGGGCAGGAACGAAGGATTTTACTCAAAGACAGGATTATTCGTTCGCACGCCGTCTTCGAAGTAACTTCGTCGTTACATCTACGCTCGCACGATAATCGACACGACTGTACGATTTTGTTACGAAGGTTAGCTAGCATACTTAGTTAGGACCTTTTCACGTTTTATGTTATTTTCATTTTAATCTATTGTACCTTTTCGCTTTCTTTACATCCCGATTCGAATTATATAAATTCTAATAACTTCGCTTTTGCCGACTTGCATAAAACCCGCCAGTTCCTGCCTGCCAGTGACTAGCGGTGGATATCTTTCGGTTCGTTTAAATTAATTTGCTACGAAATTACGTTTATTCTGTTTGATTAGTTATCACTTAAATTATTCTAGTCAATTCGTCGTTTAATACCCCGAGACTTGTCGTCTGAGTTCTAAACCCCATCTTTGGCGGGTGAAAGAATCAAGTCCTGGGAGCAGGCTGAGTTTAATAATCAGCTACGAAAATGAATACTAAATTTATTTTAAATCATATCACGATAAATTATCCGTTCAGTTATATTAATTAGGCCCCGACGAGTCTGTAGGAATTGTTTTACCTTAAATTCGATATTAGATCGATTACCAACGTCTTAAACTAATTAGTCGAAATTTTAAAAAGAGTATTTACATCACATTGGCTAAGGTTGAATACTCGTCGGCCCTACAGAGTCATTCCAAAGGTTAGGCAAAATTTAACAAAACACTTTAACGAAGGTAAGGATGATATATAGCTGAGTGATATATAGATGATATATAACTGAGTGTCTGCAGGATTTCCTGAACGTTTCCTGAGCTCTGAGCCTTCGATTAGATTTAAATTAATTGATCAGTCAAAGCCGTGACAACTTTGTATCGACCCCTGGAGTTTTCTCGGCTCCTTCTGAGCACTCCGGGGAAGAAATTTGAGTGTGGCCGGTTCTAGGGTAGGCCTAGCCTGACTTAGGTGAATACTAGTTTATTCCCCCCCTAGAATTTTGCGTCACAAACTAGTTAAAATTTTAGAATAATGTCATGTTTTAGCTGGTTCTCATCCCAGCTAAAACCTGCTGGTTCTCATAAGATGATAAGACTCACAGCCTGGTATTAGATTTTGGTGGTTTTAGCTGTCAATTGCTACTGAAGTTCATCACCGGTTGATAGACACGTATGAAAAAACGGGGGGAAGGGGTGGTGGCCTGTCTTAAACATTTATTGAATGTTAAACATGATTTTTCTATGGTGAAGAGTGAAGACCAATCACTTTTGTTCATCAGTTTCTTTTGAAGTAGTGACCAAAGTTAGTTGATTGAATTTTGTTGACGGATCATGGTGTGAAACAAGAGAGATTGTTAATTAGAAGGGGTTGTCCCTATAGTATTGCCTAGGACTATGGTCAGCCCTGGTAGTCTGAAACACGCAGATCAACAAAGTATAGAATTCAAATTTAATCACTGTATCAAAGAACTCTGATGAACTCTGATGAACCCAGCCTCATGTAATTTTGTACAGCCTTTTGTGCTCCCTTAACAATGGTAATTGTTTGCGTTAAAACACTTTTCTGCTTATACTTGTTTTACTACAGATATCACAACACAGATACCACACGATACAGATACAGATATCACAAGGTATTGACCTCCTTCCTGTAGAAACCTAGATTTATCTTTGGCAGGCAGAGGCGGCCCTACATGAACGCGAATAAAGCGCTGCCCGGAGCCCTGCGATTTTCAGGTGCCCCGCTAAGCCCTATTTCAGGTATTAAGAGAGGCCCGCTATTGAACTTTGCCTTGGGCCCCGCAATCTCTAGGGCCCCCATTGTTGGCAAGAGTGTCAATTCTCTTTCACAAGGTTTTTTTTTTAAATTATTATGACGAGTCTAATTGACCCATAAGAGTGGGAACGGGCTTGAATGGTAGTGGATGAAGTAAGAAACACAAAGTTGGTTTAAAATTTGTACTAGCTTGCTTATTTGCGACAGGACCTTGGTGGAGACTTTAATTTACTGTAAACAACCCTCATATAACTCAAGTTACAGATTGTTGTTTCTTATTTTGAATTTTAAATATGGAAATCTAGACATTTCTCTATGAAAGTAAAGTTTTTTGTTGGCCTACGATAAGACTTTGGAAAAACCATTTAACACTACCATGAATGTTTGTTACATTGGTGTATGGTTGTTACAGGGGTGAGGCTGACGGTGCACGCTGCCAACAGACTAGTCAGAGAAGACGGACAGCTAGCCTTCATTGCAGCTTGTGCTGCGGGAGGACAGGTAAGTCACCGACTGCTTTCAGCTTTATTTCAGCTATGGAAATTAACAGGTTTAATATTTACTTAGAACTAAATCAAATAATTGTTTTTAATTGAACGCCCACATTACCGAGACATATCATCACCATTGGAAAAATAATTAGATTTGGAAGATCAGGTACAATAATAGAATTATCAAATCATCATCAACTTATCAACCAATTAAATTTGGGGTGCCACAAGGTTCAATTTTGGGGCCTTTGCTTTTTTTGTGTTACCTTAAGGGCATGGAAGATACTTAAACCTACAAGAAAAATTCTAAATTATGTCTTTACGATGATGGTTCTAATTTGATTGTATCATCTGACTCTCCAGAAGAAGCTAAAATTCTTACATATGTAGAATTAGAGAATATTGGGAACTATTTCTACAATCATAACTTATTAATTCACAAAAAACTAAATTTATAAATTTCAGAACAGCACAGAACAGAATTACAAAATATCCAACAATAACTTACAACTCAAATAACATTCAAAAGGAACATCAAATCAATTTTCTGGGATTAACGATAGATGAAAATTTGAATTGGGATAAACCACACACAGAAAGTTTTAACCAAAACTAACTCTGGAATGTTCGCATTATCAAAAATGTCCTTTCATTGTAATTTGAAAACCCTAAAAAGTATATATTTTGCACACATTCACTCCCATATTTCATTCGGTTTAGCATTATATGGGTCAACAAAAATATTAAATATGGATAGTATTCTGAAGGGACAAAAAGAAGCTATCAGAAATATGCTTAATCTTAAACGAGATGATTCAGCAAAAGAACATTTTAAGAAATTACAAATTTTTACAGTTTATGGGCAATATATTTATAAAACAATTCTTATCGCAAAAAAAAAAAAATGAATCTGAGCAAGTAATAAATTCAGTGCATTCATATAATTTTAGGAGGAGAAGGGAGTTTGTCCAGCCTCACAAATTAAAATTTTTTGAAAAAAACCCTCATACGCTGGTAATGATTTTCAAAAATTTGTCCCTGAATTCATAAAAAAAGAAACAACCCTATCTAAATTCAAGAAAATTCTAAAGTGGCATTTAATAAATCTAGCATTATATTCTTTTAATGAATTTTCCACCTCCCATAAATAGAAATAGTATTTTTATTTTAAGTATTCTGACACTATTCACTGTACCACCAATGTACATGATTTACGAATAAAGATGTTTGAATATGAATATGAATATATATGAATATGTCATAGCTTTTCTAAAATATAAACCTAGATTCTTGGCAACTGTGTGAATTTCCAATTGATCAATTTTGACCACTTTTTAAGAGTGTAATACATTTTACATCATTATGTGCTTTTATTTTAGTAGGCCTACATAATAGTTATTTTGTGTGCTTTAGTTTTACAATGAAACGAAAACAAAATCACTAGCAGTTCAGCAATGTTCAACGGAAAATAATTATACAAGTAATTCTCAATGTCCCAGTCTCTACAGTAGAATTTATAGTTAATATTAAGAAATCATTTATCTTACAAAAGTTAACCTAATTGTTAAACTCTGTTACAGGGTGTAGGAATGCTTGTGGAACGCCACCCTGATGCGGTGCCTACATAAATCAAGGCTGAATTTATGGACTGAATTTATAAATGATGTAATATGTATTTTTCTACTTTTAATGTACACGTGCTGTTTTACTCATTTTGTTTATACCCTCTCATGTTATGTAATGCATTAGATATAATATATGAATGTTTTTATGGAGGAGTTTTGTTCAAAATTACCCACCGAATCCTAAATACAGATGAAAGATATGGAAACACATAAATTAAACATAATCAAGTCTTGTTTTACTGTTTAAATTATTTTAATGCAAATGTTACACTTATTTGGCAGGTGGTCAGTACAGTAGGTATGTTCGTTATCTCATCACCTCTTATCATACTTCCCTCCTCCAGTAAAATTAACAAACTAAAACCTCGTTTAGTTTTAACTCAACACCTTTGACTGAGGATTATTTAGACCATAAAATTAAATTCTTTAAGATGAATCACAATGTTACAAGTTTTTATGCTGGTTAACTAAATAAGAAATGTTTCCACTTACCGATTGCCACAGAAAGAAATCGAGACTGATACAGGTATTTTTGTGTAGAGTATTTACCTGATTTAATTTGGAAACCTATGGAGATGAACTGGATGTGTTTTTCTCTGACAGTCTGCTCAGAAGTTGCAAGGAGTTGAAAGATGATGCTTGTTGCTTGTCTAGAAGAAAAAAAACACATTTAGTGGGGATTATGTTTTATTGATTACCATTAGAGCTGTTATTGTAGAGATTAGTCATTAGGGACATTTTCCTACTGATATCATTCTTATTGCCAAGTTTAATTTTACTTGTCTTTAGGAACACAATAAATGAGTACTTATTAATTTATTTCTCAAAAAAGAACATTGCTTTTGGTTTCAACCATCTACTGTTCACCTCACATATTTATTAAGTACGATAATTATTGCATGACCTTAAAACGTTTTGATGTAACTGCACTTAAGCTGTACAATGTTCTTCCTACTGTAATCAAAAACCTGCCATTAAACAAGTTAAAGGACAGGATAAAAACTTTTCGATCAACAGCCCTATTTATAACTCCGTTGAATTTTTAAATCTGGACTGTTCATTAATGTAGGCCATTGCTGACTGTGTATATCCTGGCTACGTAAATGTACCTTGTAATTTATTTGTTGTGGGCTACTTAACTTTTATTACCTATGAACTTTTACAACATTTTGTAATTTATTTTATGATGAGACTGAGCATGTATTTGTTGTAGCCTGTAGGGTCAAATAAATTCTTGATTCTTGATGGATGTATTTTGAATTACACTACTGTGAGATGTAGAAAGACATTTCATATATGTTTAGCCTACTGATTGATTACCTATCTGTAAAGGTTTACTTTTGAAAATTTTTATTTCTGCCATATTCCAAAACACCAACGCTACCAAAATAAAATAACATGGAAAGCTACCTGTTGTAGGGTTGTGTCCAAAGTTTCCTTTTCATTCTTCTGACTCAATTCAGAGTGATAAGGCCTTTATAAATCTGCAACCATGTAGAAATAAATACTTTGTTGAAGCGGAGTGTAAACTGTGTGAGTCGCCTCATCCGACACCTAGAACATTTCTGGTCCACACACGAGGGAGTGAACAAACTACTATTCTGAGGTGTAATGGGTGTTAAAGTAAGTTTACCAGGCTCGTAAGCAGGTAACTCCTTCACCCAACTATGTGTAGTTTGTCGCGGTGACAGATGTCACAGGAAAGGATACAGGGAGGTTGCAAGGTGGTCTGAACACTACGGGTCAAGACAAGTGAGTCGTAAAATAACATGTGAAGACAAACAGAGAATATTCATAGAGTAACTAGGTCTGAAGTTTTTAGAGATATGAGATGATTGCATTGAAAACGTTTAGGCTTTGTCAGATGAAGTAACCGCATGGGACAGGGCCGACACGTTACAAGTCTCCAATGAGTCCTATAAAAGACTCTAAGAGGAAACCTGCAAAATGTCCTTTGGACCACCCTGGTGTAGTTTGTGTGTGTGTGTCAAGTCCTTCGAAGATTTTTGAAAGGTTGGTAAAAAGTAGCTAACATGGCTGCAAGATGCAGGTGTAAGTCTCCTCCCAAACAATCTGAAACACAAGAAAAAAGAAACATGAGAGTATCGTTTTTAATAAGATAACACTAGGTACTTATTTTATTTCAAAAAAGTATGTCAATAAAAGTACCTAACAAGTAGGTATAATTAAGGGGCGAGTTACAAACATTTTAAAGTATTTTCCTTAAAGACTTGTAACATAATTTCTGTCACTTGCATAAGCTAAATACTTGCTGAGGTAAAACTGTTGTGAAAAGGATACAGTTTTAATGAAAACACTCGTTAAATTGATAAATGTGTTTTTTAAAGCTTGATTTGTTATATTTGACGTACCGGAACTGAAAATATGTGTGAGAAATATTGTTATTTACATGATCCCTCTTCAGTCAAAAGCAGTAATACTGTATTCTTCATCATTTTGTTTTATCTTCCATAAAATCTTATATATTTAAAAAATTGACCTTTCTTTTCCGAGTTCGTTTGCCTCTTCTACCCGAACGATTTTCATGATTGAGGTCTCAAATTGAAGGTATGCACACACAGATTTCAGATCAAGCATCGGCATATATTTATTTATCTACTGTATAACTTGACCAAACCACATAAATTTCATTTATTTTCGAATTCTTACTTCAATTTAAGATATATTTCACCAGTATAATTATATAATCCGATATTTGTTGGTCTAAAGAACCTTCAGTGAAATACCGGCTTTTAAGCTATTAGTTATTAAAATCGGACGAGTTTCAAGCAAACACAAGTTAAACAACCAACATAACAATTTTATAAGGTTTTTCTATGATTAAAAATGAATAGCTCCAGTATTGTTTATTTATTTTTATATGTTTTGGACTCAAAATAGGCCTAATCAGTAAATTATAGGCTTTAATTTGAGCTATTGATCGTTTGAATCAGTTAAGTTCAAGATACTGTATTACTCTACCAAAAATCATAAATTTGAATTTCATTGCTGCATAGCAGCATGGGTCCTCTAGTATAAGATTTAAAAATATTTGATCTAGCCAACCAGCTAGTAAATAATTCTTAAAATTGTTATTTTATGTTAGGCACATTAGCTTTAAAACAATAAAGTAATAATAGGACCTTCTAACAATTTTTGCATCTTGAAATAATAAACAATTAACAATTTTTAGCCTATAAATAACTAAACAGACTTACCTTGATCTTATTGCTGTTTTCTTTCATCAAGACACTGAGCTACTTAAAAACTAGTTAGAAAGTATAAAAAAAAAACTTGTAACATTGTGTTTATTTAATTCAACATCATTTTCATTTTGTAAATATATAAGTCAGTATAAAGGAAGTTTAAAATTTGGTTTTTATTAACAAAACATTTCTCATTGAACCCTTCAGTATCCAATAGTCAATGATTTAACTGAGGTTCATTGACTATTGGATACTGAAGGTTAAATCTATAGCTGTCCATTCAAAAAAAAATATGCTAATTAAAAGTATAAAGTGTTTTTATTCTATTTTATGTAAACAAACAACAAATAAAACATACTATTGTTTTCCAAAATCAAAACTATTTAGCTATTGATAAATAATAAGTGTACCTTTAAACAATTTCAAACTCAATATTTGTTATTAAAAATATAATAATAGACAATATCTTCAATGAACTTATATAGGTAGTAGTTTTCCAAATTTATGAATTGGAGTGTTGATGAAATGCAGTACCAACTACAATCCTTCATGTAATTTCATTTTGAAACTATATTTTCATTTTTTCAAGTTTAGTGATTTTAGAGCTTGGAACTATGAAGTCATCAAACAACCAATAGTGTTCAATAATTAACCTAAAATGGGCCAGAAAGTAATTGTTTTTCCTTATCAATCAATTTTAATTTTTGTACGATTTTTAAATTACATTTCAACTTAAATAATTTAGGATTTCCTATCCCAATCAGAAAAAAAACATTTGAAGTCAAACTTATGTCTAATCAAACTATCATAGAAATGGGATGAGTTTAACAAAGCTAAGCTAGAAATTCGATTAAGATACTTTTAATCGTGTACAAAATAATCTACACTTTCTCATAAATAATTCATCAATTCATGTAAAGCTAAGGATATGATCAAACTTATCTACATGTTTCTAATTTACAGTTTTACTCTTCAATTTCTTATTATATATTACTCACGATACAGATAGCTCGTGACTTGTTTGAAGTTTATTTCAAATATGAATTTTGTTGCTAGGAAACTTATTTATGATTCTTTGTTCAAAAGTTATTAGTTTCAGCTATGTTTTGTTGTAACCAAGGTGAAGTAAAATGTTAAACAAAACATTTTCTTGTTCGCAAGGGCGGTCCCAGGGGCGTCAAAGGGGGTCGAAACCCCCAAACTTTATTGCTATGTCAAATCGTTCAAACAAATTCATTGTAGTCATACACTTGTGGCAAACATAGAATAACAACAAACAACAGAATTTTGTAATTCAATGATTACCTATAGGCCTAATATTGTAAATTTTAAAACTTTCAATATTTAAATAGGGTAAGTGTTTATATTTTCTTAATTATAAGAGGACGCGATATCATATTTAGGAATAGCACAATACCAATTGGATGTGTTATAGCTATGAAACAACAACATAGTGGTTAATGTATCAGACAATAACTTCACAACAACTTTGTTCTCAGGTTGACTTAATTATAAAATTAGAAAAGTTTCCTACCTATGTGCAAAATTGTTTGGGGAGGGGTCACGACCCCCTTGACCCCCCCTGGGACCGCCCTTGACTCATATACTAAATAATAAAATGCAAACATAAAAAAGTTTAACAATTTTTTAGTGTTTTAATTTGATTAGTTCCTTAGATTTACATATGTTATAGTTTAAAGTTGCCATGGATGAGGCTGCAGACACGTGTTACCATTACAGACTCCTAAATTCAATTAAAAGTTTGACACTAAGAACAACATCCGTGTCTTAACTCCTTCCGTGGTTGATGCATTTAAAGTAGTTCTGCATCTAAATTCTACTTGAAACTAACTATTGGCAGATCTCCTAACTTGAGGGTACGAGGGTGAATTTTTGTGTGAAAATTCTCCATCACTCGTGGTCTAGTCCGAAATAATTAAACTA